CTCCAGCTGCGGCCTCGACCTCCGTAGGCACCGGCACTCATGTGTGCCCAGAGGGCTGAGACATGGCTCAGCAGGTACGTGCCTGTTCTTCCAGAGGACAGGAATTCAGTTCCCAGTATCCGACACGAAGAGGATCCTTTGGCACATGCACCATTATCAACTGGCTAGGACCCTCATTTCTGGTTCTGAAGCAAAGCTGTTCCCAGCGCTGTTGTGGGTGGCAGGGACACTGCGACCGCCAGGGGGCGCGCGTCCCCCGCGGGCGCAATGGCTGAGCTCAGGCCCGGGGAATGCGAGGCGGGCCCGGGCAGGTGCACAGCTCCCTGGGGCCAGGGAGCGGGGCGAGCCAGGGGAAGCAGAGCCTCTGTTCCCAGGCTCCTGTCCCTGCCCTCCACCCTCAGGTCTTCTTCCTTGGGCTCCTCTCCAATTCTAGCTCCCCCTTCAACAGGCTCCCATCTCTGCTCCACCCTTAGATCTCAAGACCTTGCCCGGCCTCCTCTGCACCCCAGCCAGGCTCTCAGAGTTGAAGGATCTTATTGGGCTTCCTGAAGGAGTCAGTGGGATCCAGGTCAGGGACCGGGATGGGTTGGGAACACCCAAAGTGTAATCCTCCACTCTAGCCGGGTCAGACTTGATGTTTGTCTCTGTGGAATGGGCTAGGGACTTCCCCTAGCTAGCCCTCGGCCTTGAGCTAGTTATTGTGACATCTTCTTTCTCCCTCGGTTTCCTCATGTGTACTCTGTGCATGTGTGCGTGCGTGCGTGCGTGTGCGTGTGTGTGTTTGGGGGGATTAATGCCTTCACCTAGAGGAGGTGTGAGCATCGGAGGACCTAAATTATACAGTGTTTACAACAGTGCAATTTAAGGACTGAATGTCTCGCATCCTGGACTGTTACTCTACCAGCCTTCCTCCATGGTTCTCTAGGGTAACACAGATGAGCACTCAGGACACTGAGGCAGGAGGATCTCTAGTTCAAAGCCACCCAGGGTTACATAAGCGACATTGTCTCCAACAAACAAGAGCTGAACTTCAGCTCCCAGCAATAGAGTGGCTAATGTAGCTCGCACATGGCTTGGGTTCAGTCTCTGAGGCCAGGGGGATCAATCGCACACGGGCAGGCTCAGAGCCAGGGACGAAAACCCAGGCGCTGTAGATTCTTCAGAGACTCTTCTGTGAGGGATCTTGGTTGGTTGGTTTGTTTACATAACCCTGGCTTGTCTGGATCTATGTAGACCAGGCTGACCTGGAATTCAGAGATCTGCCTTTCCCTGCCTCCCTAGTGCTAGGATTAAAAGTACCACCACGCCCCACAGTGGTTCTGGTTTTTGTTTTGTTTTGTTTTTTGTTTCTCAGTGTACTCTGAGCTGTCCTGGAACTCACTCTGTAGACCAGGCTAGCCTCGAATCCAGAGATATGCCTGCCTCTGCCTCCCTAGTGCTGGGATTGAAAGGCGTGTGCCACCCCTACCCAGCATCCATGGTATACTTAAACTTCCAATCCTCCTGCCTCCACCTCCCAGTGCTGGAAATACTGGCATGTAACATGACAGTCTGGTTTATTCAGTTCTGGGGACCGAACCCTGAGGATTCCTGCATGCTGGACGAGCAGTCTACCTTCCAAGCCCATATGCCAACAACCCCTTCTTTCTGTGATTCTAAGAGCCCTGGGCTCTGTTGCCAGTGGTCCCAACTGCCTGAGCTTTTGGACCATAGAACCCTAAACTTCCCACCGGCAACAGTGATTTCCCCAGGAATGCAGGACTACGGCAGGGTGAGAACCCTGGAAGATTCCAGACAGAAACTGGCAAGATCCCAGGGTGTGGGTGGTGTGTGTTTGCCAGCCTCAGTTTCCCCAGTGCTAGGGAGGAGTCCTCCCCGGGGTCAACAAACTGCCCTGAAAGGTGGAACTCACTGTTCCTACCTTTGGGCGCTTGCCAAATGCTTCTGTGGACGGGGAGATCCATCCTGACCTGAACCCGGCAGGACTGTGTTGGCAGCTGTGACTATTATTTTTTAATTTCATTTCAGGCTGTCAGCGGGTGTCCTTCCAGGCATTAACCCTCCCTCTTCAGATCCTTGTCCCCCGCTGGGCTTCTCAACACACACACACACACACACACACACACACACACACACACACACACACACACCACGTAAGGGCCCAGAGGTGGAGAGACAGAGGGAATTGCCTGCCTGCTCCTGCCCTCTCCCAGGCTCAAGGACAGACAGACACCTCCAGAATTAGCCTCCATCCCTCCCTTATCTCCCACAATACCTCAGGTCAGACAGATGGAAGTGGAGGTGACATTTCTCACCTCTGGGTCAGAGGGAGGAACCCCACCCCGGGAGGAAGAAGGCTAATTAGAAAAATCTGGTGGGAGTGAAGGAATTCTTTCCACAGACAGCTGTCAAGGAGGGAAGGAGATCTCAAACTCAGCTGCCTGTATGGCCCACCAGCCTCGGTTTACCCCTTTCGTTCTGTGTAAATGCAGCAGTCACACAAGCCTCCCGGATCCAGCCCCGCGGTCCTGTTATTCTAGCCTGGGCTCTACAATGACCTCAGCAAACCCCAGTTATTTCCCACCCCAATGGGGCAACAAGAGGTCCGACCCCGTCTCCGCTAGGGGGCGCCTTGGGTCGGATGTGCCTCCTCTGGTTAGGCAGGTCTGACGCCCCGGTTAATGACATGTTGGGGATTCGCTCAGCGGCACACAAGAGGTTGAAGAGCTGCCCCGGTTTCTCATCCCCTGCCCCCACCCCAAAACCAGAAAGTGGGGTGTAGCGCCGGGACATAGCCTCTGAGGGACCCACGTTCCCCCCGCTCCGTGCTTGTCCCACTCTTCTCAAAAACCAGAATCCACTACCCCAGTGCCACTATTTGACGCAAAGACCTGGTGGCTCGGTGCTGGAGGCAGCTGGAGGGCGCCCGGGCGCCCAACCCTTCTAGAACGTCCTAACCTCCCACATCTACCCAAAAGTCAGAGACCCGAGACCCCCAACATCCCCCCGAGACACTTCCAAGAGTCCCCCAATTAAAGTATTCAAGAATTCCAGCTCCAATGGCTCCCCAGGACTAAAGGCTCCGAGTACTCCTAAGATCTCAGGAGTCCGAGACCCCATCCATATGCCCAGTGAAGCCGGCACCCCAGTTGCCTCTTTCCAGGGACCCAGGCGTGAGCGCCCACACTTTGCCCCGGGACTTAAGGTCCGAGGTCCCACCAAGTGCTCCCAGGGACGCGGTGTCAGGTTCTAGGGTGGCAGACCCCAGGTGGGGTGGAACTCACGCGTCCGGGGCAGATCCTGGCACCGGGGGGCTTTTCCTCGGGCTCCGGCTCCGGCTCCAGCGGCGGGGAGCGGAGGACGGGGCGGGGCAGTCGCCGGGGAACAGGTTAGACGACGTGACTCTGACTGGAGGGAGGCGTGTCCCGCGGGGGAGGGAGAGCGGCGGTCGCCTCGAGCACCTTGGGATTTGTAGTCCCGGAGGGGCGGGGCGCAGCCTGGGACATTCCCTTTTGGAGTCAGGCGCGATCCATTTCACAGACAGCAAGAGCGAGGACCAGAAGATCGAGGGCGCCCTGGACGGTGAAATGCACAGGAGTCCAGACCCCCACTTCACTGCGGGTGCAGGGGAAGAACCCCTGAGCCCGAACCCACTCTCCAGGCTCAGTTTCCCAGGCGGGGAGAAATTCACACGACCCAATACTACGGCGAGAAAAGGACCCGAGCCCCGGCTTACCTGTCTACGTAAAATAAAAATAAAAGTAAGGGGCCTTTAATCTTAGCACTCGGGAGTTAAGAGTCAGGGGCATCTCTGCCAGTTAGAGGCCACCCTGGGCTACACAGGAAGACCATGTCTCAAAAACAAAACAAAACAGCACAAAAACCCGCGTTGGCGCTTGAGTGGCGTGCCTAGCAACAGGCTGGACTACAATCCCCAGCAGCAATCCTGAGCCCAGTCCCCCTCCAGCCACCCTCGGGTCCTCTGGGAATTGGAGTCCTGGAGCCCTCAAAGGGCGAGCCCCAGAGGCGCTAGCCCACGCGCGGAGGGACACACAGTCTGGGGATCCCTGGCCGAAGGAACCCTTCCCTGTCTCCTTGGCCCCCTCTGAGTTCTCGAAAGCCGCAGGAGAAGGGGGAGCATCCCAATTCTGGAGGAGTCTCCGAAATCTCCGCGGAGGGGGCGGGACGCGACGCTGACACACCGGCCAGGAATGCAGTCGGGTCACCCTGTCTCGCCGCCGTGCCGCGGCTCCACCCGCCGCCCCACGCGCTGCAGTACTGCTGGGAAGGGGCGTGGGCGCGTCCCCCAAACCCCGCGTCCACGTGCAGCTGTTTACTGGGGCCGCGGGGCAAGGAGGGGTCGGCCAGCTGCACCTCTACCTCCCTCGGAGCGGTGGGGAATACGTCCCGCGCAGGACACCGAGTCCACATCTACGAGTCTCACCCGACCCACTAACCCTCACTCCGTTTGGAGCCAAGCTCCGGGCTCTGGGGTCCGGGGCTCCTCCCCTGACCCCGAGGACTCCTCCCCCTCGGTTTCCCGCTTACCCCAGAAACTCCAGAAACTCCGCCTCCCGTTGGTACTTTACATGCTCCGATGGCCCGCACTCCTCTGTTTTCCGACCTCGTCCACTCAAGCCTTCCGCTCTCGCCGTGTCAGGGACGTCCCAAAACACACTCTCGCTTTGAAAGCACAACCCTGCCAACCGGAATTCTCACCCGGCTCTTACAGGAGTGTCTGCACAGTCGGCCTTCTGTCTCTTTAAGAGCCGCGGCCTGGCTGGGTCACTGCCCCTTTAAGACTGTGTTGGAAGAAACCACGTGAGCAAAATTGGGGGGGGTAGGCGGGTCCTCCGAGATCCGACCTGGCTTGCTTTCCCCACAACGAGTGACTTGATTTCCCCCGGTAACGGACTGTTGGGAATTCAGTCATTCCTCCGCTGTGTGCCGTTCAAAGGTGGAGATTGGCTCGGTTCCGTAAATAGAGTGACAGGGGCCGAGCCACGCCCCCACTCTCCCACGCGACTTGGACGCTTCCGGTGTGACTCCACCTCCGGGGTCCACGTGGTGGGCAGCGCTCGGCGCAGGTCCTGCGTGGGCTCCTCCCGGCTGGGGATGGCGGGTACCCCGGCCTCCGGTGAGTGGAGCGGGAGCCGGTGCAGGGGAAGGGTGCCCGGGAGGACCCGGGTACTAAGGGGACTGGGTGGGGGGCTCCCGGAGGGAGGGGACGCCCCGGGAGGCCCCGGGAGAGGTCGCAGTGTCGAAAGGACCTACACCCCGTCTCTCCTCGCAGGTGCCGCTCCGTTCTCCTGCCCCCCCAACTTTACGGCGGTTTCTCCAAACTCGGATTCCCCTCGTTTCTCCTTGGAGGCTTTGACACTTCCAGATACAGAACTGTGGCTTATCCGGGCCCCTGCAGACTTCGCCCCACAGTGGTGAGTGGTCGTTCCCAGGACACCTCCTGGGAGTACCCCTCCCACACACACCCTAGAGGCTGGACCCACCCCAGACCGTGAACGTACAACTTAAGACAGCAAATCTGAGCAACGCGGAAGTGCTACTTTGTGTTAGCCTCATTCTGTAGCCCATTCCCACAAGCCGGCCACTTCAGATCCCTGCCGGTCTGAGGCCTTGGTTCTTGAGTACTGGGTCTACAAGTGGGTGTTACATACTCTTTTGTTTTGGAGAATCGGGTTTTTGTTTTGGTTTTGTTTTTTTTTTTTCGAAATAGGGTTTCTCTGTGTAGCTTCGGAGCCTGTTCTGGAACTCGCTCTGCAGACTAGGCTGACCTTGAACTCACTGAGATCGCCTGCCTCTGCCTCTCAGTGCTGAGATTAAAGGCGTGCGCCGCCACAGCCCAGCTTGTTTTGGAGAATCTTATGTCCCATGTAGTAATTAAACTTCGGATCTTCCTGCCTCCACCTCCCAAGTACAGCCACCGTTTTATGCAGTGCTGGTGATCAAATCCAGGGCCTGTCCATGCTAGACACACACACACACACACTCCACGTCTGAGCCTCATCCCGTATGCCTGCTCACCTTAAATATTACTTAGCCAGTAATGGGGGGGGCAGTAGGCTGAGGCGGGAAAATGGTAGGCCTCAAGGCCATCATGAGTACACAGATTCTGTCTCAAGAAACAGACAGGAGCCCAGCAGTGGTGGCACACGCCTTTAACCAGCACTCAGGAGGCAGAGGCTGGTGGATCTCTGAGTTTGAGGATGGTCTTGAGCCTGGTCTACAGAGTGAGTTCCAGGACAGCTCAGAATACACAGAGAAACCCTGTCTCGAAAAACCAAAAAATAAAAAAGAAAGAAAGGAAGCCGGGAGTGGTGGCACATGTCTATTCGAAGTCCCTGGGAGGTGGTGCAGGCTGGTTAGGAGTACTAGACGTCACAGAAACCCCACACAACAGAAGTTGATTAGTTAGCTGAAACAGCAAACAGAACTCAGGGCTCTAAGGCTGAGCTGTACCCTAGCCCAGAAGAGCTGCTTAGGGCCCCAGGCTCCCGCTTTGCAAAGGATCTAGCCAGCCTCTGCCTTATCCTTTCTCTCCTCAGCCTCAATGGACGGCTTGTGCCTCTCTCTGGCTCGAAGACTGTTAAGGGCAAACTGGATGGCCAGAGGTACCGATACCGGGTCCTGACCAGCAGCCCCCAGGCGGGAGAAGCCACCTTGCTGGCATCGTCAACAGAGGCAGGAGGTAGACTCACCTGCGCCCCAGCCCCCCATGGAAGCTTAAGGATCATGGAGGGTCCTCAGAAATATCTCATCTCTCGGGTCCCTCTGCAGCCCATTCCCACAAGCCTGCCACCTCAGATCCCTGCCGGCCTCCGGCCTCGGTTCTCTGCCTTTGGAGGCAGCCCTCCGGTCACGGGGCCTGGGTCGGTCCTGGCTCTGAGGTCACCCACTTCAGGGAAGAGGAAAAAGAAAAGAAAGGTCGCAGAGGCCTCGGCCATTCAGGAGGCAGTGAATGGGCATGGGGCCACGCAGGTGGACACAGCCTGGGGTGGCTTAGAAATGGGTATGGGGAAGAAGAAGAAAATGAAGCATCAGGTGGATGAGGTAGAGATGATGGAGGCCGAGGTGATGGAGCCCGTGGCAGAGATGGCAGAGCCTCTGGGACTGCCAATCCCGTCTGCCACCAGCAGCAAGAAGAGGAAGAGCAAGTCCAAGGGGGCAGAGACATTCCAGCTGGAACCTGTGGCGGAAACACAGCCTGCTGATGGGACCGTCCTGTCTCCCACGAAGAAGAGGAAGAGGCAGAAGGAGGCCGAGGGGATGGAGGCAGCGGAGGGCACCATGGCTGGCTCTCAGCCACAGGTCGCTGTGGAACCCCAGGAGGAAGCCATCCCACTGTCTCCCACAAAGAAGAGGAGAAAAGAAAAGAGGCAGAGTTTGGTGATGGAGCCAGAGATGGGGCCCCCTGGAGTGATCACAGAGCCTGAACTCTCAGAACAGGGCCTTCAGGCTGAGGCAGCGCCTGTGTCCCCCAAGAAGAAGAAAAAGAAGAAGGAAAAGTGGCGGGGTGAGGCACTGGCCTTGGGGGCAGCTGACTTTGAGCCGCAGGTGGCTCCAGCACCCAGCAAGGAGAAAGAGAAAGGAGAGGAGGCGATAGAGCCCCCGACAGAGATGACTGAGCCAAGAGAATCCGAGGAACCTGAGGCCGGAGCAGCTCAGGGATCCACAAAGAAGAAGAGAAAGAAGAAAAAGGATCAGCAAAGTGGGGTGTAAGGCACCACTCCCCACTGAGAGATGTCTCCCACAGGACAGGAAATAAAGCCGAAGAGCCCCAATAACACCCTGGGGACTGAGGAGGCCTCGGGAGGGCTGTCAGGTATTGGCTGCGGGGAAGAGAGGAGCCCTTCCCTCACGCAAACACGCCAGTACACCAGCAGGAGCCTGGGCCGGGAAAACGCTTTATTGTGACGCTGGAGCCTCGGTGGCAGTGGGTCATCGGGGCACTTTGAGGAAGGGTTCGTGTAGGACGTCAAAGAGCCTGCGGGCCTAAGGGCAGGGAGAAAAGGGGGCTTGTCATTAAAGAGGCTGTTTGCTTACTTTTCTTAAAGTGCATTGTGGCTCTTTTTCTCCTAGGTTGGAGCTTTGCAGGTCTGGGTTCTACTTGAGACTAGCCAGAAGGCTGGCTTCTCCCACCCTTTGGGCCTCAGTTTCCCCATGTGTGAGAGGGGCAGATGCAAATGGACCATTTAGAACCGTAAAACTAGTCCGTTGTGGTGGCCGCATCTGGACTCCCAGCACTCTGGAGGCAGACACAGGTGGATCTCTGAGTTCCAGGACAGCCCGGGCTACTCAGAGCAACCCTGTCCCGAATAAATGAATAGAATAAGGCAGGAGGGCGGTACACACCCTGTAATCTCAACACTTGGGAGGCTGAGTCCGGAAGATCAGAAGTACAAGGCCAACCTCAGCTACATAAGAAAGTCTCAAAAAATCAGGTCAAAGAAACAAACAAACAAAGCCTTCTTTGCATTTGAAACGCGGTGTCGAGAACCCTGGGCTGGCCCAGCTAGCTGTCTAGCCAAGGATGACTTTGAACTTCAGACCCTTCTGTCTTATCCAAGTGGCCACCATGCTTAGTGTAGGCAGTGCTGGGGACCAGTCAGGGCTTTGTGCATGCTAAGAAAGTGCTCTAATTCAGCTACATTCTCAGCCCCCCAGAAAAACTGTCACGGAGCCTTTTAAACCAAGCATGGTGGCTCATGTCTGTGATCTCAGCAGGAGAAGCCGGGGGAGCTGGGTTCAGGCCCAGCTAAGACCCTGTCTAAAAACAAGTCACTTAATACAGTGGTTCTCAACTTCCTAACACTGCGACTTTGAATACAGTTCCTCAGGTTGTGCTGACCCCCAACCATAAAACTATTTTCATTGCTACTTGATAACTAACTGTGCTACTGTTATGGATCACAATATAAACATGTGTTTTCTGATGGTCAGGTGACCCTGTCATGTGACCCCCAAGGGGGTCACGACCCACAGGTTGAGGACCACTGATTTAACAGACTCTCAAGGTTCACTGATTTGGGGCTCATCCCCCCTCCAACCCTTGTATCCTCCCCCAGAGTTCTCACCTTCTGGGGCCCCAGACCTGGGCACAAGGCTAGATCCTCCCGTGACGCAGTGAAGAGCTGTTCGAGGGACTGAAATGTGGAATTGAGGGGTCAGGGGCAGTGTGCTCCACACCCTAGCCTGTCCCTGCTGCAGGGGCCCCAGGATGTCGCCGGGGAGGTGTGGGACTGTGGGGAGGTAAGGAGGGGACGCCCAGGGGGCCTCTTACTCCAAACGTAGCCAGGAGGGTCTGGCTGTCGGTCTTGTTGACTGACTTCACGGTGGTCAGACACTCGGTGGCCTGGAAGGGAAAGAGACAGGGTCTTTCCTTGGGACCTGGTGTCCGGCAGCCTATGAGTAGTGCTTAGAAGGCAGGTGCAGGAGGATTCCCGAAAGATTGAGGCCAGCCTGGTCCACGGCCATTTTCAGGCCAGATGGGCCTAGGGAGATACTGACTCCAGAAGCCAAAGGAGGCTGGAGAGATGGCTCGGCGATTAAGAGCACACCCCACCCTCCAGAGGACCCAAGTTCAGTTCCAAGCACCCACCCTGGGTGACTCACTTTTTGAGACAAGGTCTCCAGATGTATCCCTCCCTGACTGGCCTACAATTAGGTTGACCAAGCTGGCCTGAACTCCGGAGATCCCCCTGCTTCTGCCTCTCTAGTGCTGGGGTTAAAGGCGTGGCCTGGGCTGCTGGCTTTTAACATGGCTGGGCAGGCAGGACCGGGTGACACCAGCTCCTCGTCAGGTAAGTCTCTTCTCCCTCTGCTTCCCTTGGGAAAAGGGGAGCACCTTCCCCAGGGTTACAGTCGACTGTGGAGCCAGTGCAGGAAGAGTGGGTGCAGCTGTGGATGCAGCCTTTGCTGCTAGTGGGCCCTGTGGCTGGACCACTTCCTAGGAGCACACCCAGAAAGGCATAAATGCAGAATCCCTCATAAGTGCTGAAAGTTATCGATTCGTTTACAAAATAACATCCAAGTGGCCACTGGGTGCTGTTGCAGTCACAGCAGGGTCAGGATGGTTCCAGCCTGGTACTCTGGGCTACCAGGCTGAGAGGATGAAGGAGGGCTTCCTGGAGGAGGCAGCGTCAGAGCTGGCATGGGAAACAGATTGTAGCAGAGGGAATGGGATGGTAGATGCCGAGGGCAGCCTAGGAGTCAGAGCTAAGGGGGACAAGGTCTGGTTTGTACTTGGAAGACCCATCGGGCTGGTAGGAGAGACTGAGGAAGGGCTGGACAGGGAAGGAGGCTGTCCGTGTGGATGGACTTGCTTTGAAAGGAACAGGCCACTGCAGGGTCAGGAGGTGCAGAAGAACAAGGGAGGCGGTCTCACCCGGGACAGGAAGTTCTGCTCCAGCTTCTCCATGAGGAGGTCAGCGGGCTTCTGCTCATAAGCCTTGTAGGTCTCCAGGTACCGCCCGGCTTCCTCCGCGCTGGGTAAGGACAGGTCAGCTGGGGTGGGGGCTGTCATTCAGGATTCTCCTTCATAGGACTACTAACAATTCCAAAAACTAGGCCCATCCCAGCCCCAACTCCTGTCCTCAGCAGTGACCCCTACAGGGTAGGTTCTCACACACTTCTTACTTAGTCATGCTGGGGATGGAGCTCAGGATACAGGAGAGCTACACACTCCACCACTGAGCCACACCCCAGCCCCTCACTGGGGGATTCTAAGCAGGGGCTCTACCACTGAGCCACACCCCAGCCCCTCACTGGGGGATTCTAGGCAGGGGCTCTACCACTGAGCCACACCCCAGCCCCTCACTGGGGGATTCTAGGCAGGTGCTCTACCACTGAGCCACACCCCAGCCCCTCACTGGGGGATTCTAGACAGGGGTCTCTACCACTGAGCCACGCCCCCAGCCCCTCACTGGGGGATTCCAGGCAGGGGCTCTACCACTGAGCCACACCCTGGCCCCTCACTAGGGGATTCTAGGCAGGGGCTCTACCACTGAGTCACACCCCCAGCCCCTCACTGGGGGATTCTAGGCAGGGGCTCTACCACTGAGCCACAACCCCCGACCCTCACTGGAGTACTCTAGGCAGGGGCTCTACCACTGAGCCACACTCCAAGCTCCCTTTTTCTTGCATTCTCTCTACCACCACAGGGTCTCACTATGTATTCCTGCCTGGCCTTGAACTGATCTACCTGCCTCAGTCTACTGAGTGCTAGGATTACAGATGTCCACCACCACACCCAGCCTAAGACTTTCTTTCTGAGACAGGGTCTCATGTATCCCAGGCTGGCTTTGAACTGCTTACTTAACTAAAGATTGCACTGCCCTTCTGATCTTCCTGTCTCCACCCCCTGGAGTGCTGGAATTACAGGTTTGAGCCGCTATGCAAGGTTTACACAGTGTAGCGACAGAGCCCGGGGATTCTCGCTTGCCAGGAAGCACTGCCAACGGAGCCCAGCACCCCAAACACTGAAGTGTCTCTTTCTAAGTCGAAAGCTATTCATTTACCAGGTTTAATTTTACTTATGGTGTGGGGAAGGGGTGTCTTGTTTTTTTTTCTTCCCCAAATGGACTATCTATGTGTGGTTTTGTTGGTGAGCCAATTAAATGACCTCTAGAGAGCGACACCAGGTATGGTGGCACACACTCAATCCCAGCACGCAGGAGGCTGAGGCAGGCAGACCGCTGTGTTCCAGGATAGCCTTGGCTATGGAGACTTTGGGAAACAGAACAAACCAGAAATACTAGATACAAAATTCCTTCAGTCATCTGGTCTAAGCTGGACACATCTGTCATATGTCACCTGCCTTGGTGCTTACAACTACAAAAAAAACTTGCTGGGCGGTGATGGTGCACACCTTTAATCCCAGCACTTGAGAAGCAGAGGCAGGTGGATCTCTGTGAGTTTGAGGCCAGCCTGGTCTACAGAGCGAGATCCAGGACAGCCAGGACGGTTACACAGAGAAACCCTGTCTCAAAAAACAAAACAAAACCTAGAGAAGACCCCATCTTACACACTGAGAATGTTGGGACTCAGAGAGGCAGTGCCTGCACCAGGCACCCCTGGAGGTGGGAGACACCAGGTCTCATTAGCCCACGTTGGCCTTGAACTCTTGACCCGCCTGCCTTGGCATCCCCAGAACTGGGATTGTGCCACCATGCCTGGCTTAGGATCCACCTCACAGGCTGGACAGGCGGGTGCTGTCGGTGGGGTGGGAGGGGTCTGTGTCTTACCTCCAGGCCAGGACCAGGGTGCAGTCCGCTAAGATGCACATCTTAGCCAGCTCCTTCAGGGCCTGCTGAGGATCTTTCTGGAAGAGAGGAAAGGCAGAAGTAGAGACCTGGGAGACCGCAGGGGTTCACAGTGTGAGAACTCAACAGCTGAGTGGGGAAGACGGCACAGCCGGGAAAGCCACACCGGCCCGGCATGGACCAAAAACCTGGGTATGGTGGTACGCTAATCTCAATGCTGTGGTGCCCCAGGTCCCAGTGAGGAACCCTGCCTCAATCAATCAATCAATCAATCACAGTGGATGTGCAGGGTTTCATGGGCATCTCTACCCTTGGGGGCTGAAGTCTTCAGACCCGACCACCTGAGTCCCATCCCCGAGATCCACAAGAGAGGAGAGAACCACCCCCCAAAAGTTGTGTGTCCACACGTATGCACACACAAACAAATAAATAAATGTGAAAAATACTTCTCAAGTACTTTAAAACAATATCCAATAAAGAAGCTTAGATATGTCGGGTGGTGGTGGTACACGCCTTTAATCCCAGCACTCAAGAGGCAGAGGCAGGCAGATCTCTGTGAGTTCGAGGCCAGCCTGGGCTACAGAGCGAGATCCAGGACAGGCACCAAAACTATGCAAAGAAATCCTTCTCAAAAAAACAAAAAACAGCCGGGCGGTGGTGGCGCACGCCTTTAATCCCAGCACTCGGGAGGCAGAGCCAGGCGGATCTCTGTGAGTTCGAGGCCAGCCTGGTCTCCAAAGCGAGTTCCAGGAAAGGTGCAAAGCTACACAGAGAAACCCTGTCTCGAAAAACCAAAAAAAAAAAAAACAAAACAAAACCAAAAAATAAGGGTGGAGGGATGGCTCAGCGGTTAAGAGCACTGGCTGCTCTCCCGGAGGACCCAGGTCCAATTCCCAGCACCCGCATGGCAGCTCACAGACATGTAACTCCAGTTGCAGGGGATCTGACACCCTCACACAGACACACATACAGACAAAACACCAATGCACATAAAATAAAAATAAATAATCTTTAAATAAATAAATAAATAAATAAAGGATGGTGGCCAGGTCTGCAAGCAGGGAGAAGCTGTGGATCTGACGTGACAGACGGAGAACAAGACCTAGGGAAGTCATGGAGTGGTGAAGAGGCACGGCCCAAGCTTTCACTCTTACGATGCTGTGGAACAAACCTAGTGCACGCTAGGCAGGGGCTCTACCACTGAGCCACACCCCAGCCCCTCACTGGGGGATTCTAGGCAGGGGCTCTACCACTGAGCCACACCCCAGCCCCTCACTGGGGGATTCTAGACAGGGGCTCTACCACTGAGCCACACCCCAGCCCCTCACTGGGGGATTCTAGGCAGGGGCTCTACCACTGAGCCATGCCCCAGCCCCTCACTGGGGGATTCTAGGCAGGGGCACTGCCACTGAGCCACACCCCAGCCCCTCACTGGGGGATTCTAGGCAGGGGCTCTACCACTGAGCCACACCCCCAGCCCCTCACTGGGGGATTCTAGGCAGGGGCTCTACCACTGAGCCACATCCCCAGCCCCTTACTGGAGGATTCTAGTCAGGGGCGCTACCACTGAGCCACACCCCAGCCCCTCACTGGGGGATTCTAGGCAGGGGCTCTACCACTGAGCCATGCCCCAGCCCCTCACTGGGGGATTCTAGGCAGGGGCACTACCACTGAGCCACACCCCCAGCTCCTCACTGGGGATTCTAGGCAGGGGCTCTCCTGTTGAGCTACGAATCCTACCTTTAATTCTATTTGAGTTAGAGCCCCTCTCTGTAGCCCAGGCTGGCTCAGGAACTCATAATTGTGCCTGAGCCTCCCAGGGCTGAGATCAGGGATGTGCCACCACCTCTGGCTCTAACAACTTTCCTCCCCACCCCGTAGCCCACGCAGGCTTTCCTGTGGCAATTTCAGATGAAATCCATTGTTAAGGTTTTAGGTGTTTTGTCTTAAAAGGGATTCGGCAGCCCATGCATTAACTCCATGCTGCAGCTGCATGGAAAGAGGACAGCCAGCCGCGACAGCCCTGCTTACCACATCCACTTGGACCAGCAGCACACGCAGGGCAAAGGTCTTCCCCAGGCTCTGCAGCCGTTCATGGATGTAGTCTGGATGGAGGTTGTGGTAGCGGAGGCTGGTGGAGACAGGGAAGGGGATAGGTTGAGGGTCTCCTTGTCCCCGAGGCCCCAGAATCCTTTGCACCTCCTTGGCATGGAGAAGCTGGGACCCATTGGCACAGCAAGTGGGACAGTGTGGCCAGGGTCAGGGAAGTCAACCCACAAGACCGACTTCAAGGAAGGGTCATGGCAGGGAAGGGCAGCCTGGCTGGGGTATTCTGGGAGGATGGACACTCGGCTTCTTCCCTCAAGTCAGGACCCCGCCCTTCTCCCTCCAACCCAGGAATATAGCCCCCAGGTCTCCTACCTCAGATACAGAAGTCCAACCTCCCTTCTTCAGACCCAGGGTCCAGCCCCAGCCCTCCTCCCTCACAACCTGGGATCCAGCCCCAGCCCTCTTCTCTCACAACCTGGGGTCTAGCCCCAGCTACTCTCGCTCTGGACAATTATAGACCACAACCCCTTCTTCAACACAGAGCCATGCACATGCCCAGAGCCCACAACACTGATTCACAATTGTCCCACAGAACGGGTCAAAATGCAAAAACTATGGGACAGGACTCGAACCTTCAAAGCACCCCGGAGCTCACCTGAGGAAAAGGGCACAGGTGCTCTGGCCCAGCACATAGTCAGGAACCACCTCACTGAATTCCCAGGGCACGTTGCGCACGAACTTCAACACAGGGTTGCCCCTCTGCCAAGGGAGACAGGCAGAAGCCACTTATGGGGTGACCCTTGAACTAAGACGAAGGCTAGCCCCTGCCCCACCTCTTCCCACCCTAAGGCCTGGAATCTGAATGTTAGCTCTCTCCTTCCCCACCACAGCCTCCCCCCGCCCCATACACACACACACACACACACACACACACACACACACACACACACACACACACACACACACACACCCTCTGTCCCAGCATTAATCAGTCCTGCTATCTGCTGGATGCCAGCCCTCACTGCAACCTCAGCAACATTCATACTTGCCCCTCCTAGGGAGGGCCCGGCTTCCAGAACCCCAGGCCTGTCCTGCACCTCTCTTTCCCCTCCTCTGGTGGAATTTGCACCTTGTCAACACCCCTTCTCTGTCACCACAGCACCTCTCTGACCGAGGCCACCATCATACTACCTCGTGGCCACCCTGCAAATGATAACCAGAGGTGTCAGCTAAGCTCCTTCACGGCTCCCCCGTGCCCCCAGAGGGAGGCAGGCTATTGAACATGTCCTCTCCAGCTTCCCTCCTGTGCTCCCCTGACAGTGTCCTCAACAGCCCAGGACTGAAACTGTCCGGGCAAGCCAAGCTCTAACCCATGCCAGGGACACAGCAGTGACCCGGCTCTTGTGGTCACCTGGACTCTGCCCCCTGGTTCCAGATCTGGCTCTCCTGAAGCCAGTGTGGATGGGACAAAGACAGCCTTTGGTTCTGCTACATGTACCTTAACCCCGATTCTTAAGACTTGTGGAATTTCCTGAGTGACAGATAGCATCTGTCATGGACTTCCTAAGGCCTGTGGGATTCCTGAGGGACGGGAACACCTTGTGTTGTCCCGGGTGACTCATAACGGCTCCTGTTTGGCCCAGAACAGATACGGGTACACAGAGGACCCAGCTCTCAATTCAGGATTGGGATTGTCTGCCCTCCCCCACCTCCACCAAAGGGAGGAGCTCAAGGCTGAGGGTTCACCAATACCTAGGGATGGCACCAATGCCAGCCTATGACGTAATCTACCATAACCCAAAAGGACCAAGTTCAAGAGCTTCCCTGTAGCTGGGTGCATGGGAGGTCCCAGAGGGCGGGAGTGTGGAGGAGAGTGTGGAGGCTGGAGGATATGTCCCTCCTATGCCATGACACCCCAGGCATTAAATGCATGGGCAGATGAATGAATGAACATACAAAGGAATGAATGAATGCACGAGGTAATTCATTTAAGCTACCACAGAAATCAAAATCCTTCATTATACAGCCGGGCGGTGGTGGCGCACACCTTTAATCCCAGCACTTAGGAGGCAGACGCAGGTGGATCTCTGTGAGTTCGAGGCCAGCCTGGGCTACAGAGCGAGTTCCAGGACAGCCATGGCTACATAGTGAGAACCTTTCTCTAAATAAACAAATAATTGTGGGGCTCACTGGTAAAGTGGTAACATCAGTAAAACGCAGCCCTGAGTGGGGATCCCCAGCACCCACATCAACAGCTACTCCTCTGCCTGGGCAGCAGTTCATTGAGTGTTCTCCCTCTAGGTTCTGACTCAGTAACAAACCTGGGGACAGGAGCAGAGTGACCAGCCCTAGCAGGAAGGGCTGGGGCATTCCCAACCCACAAGCCATCGCTGAATACATGAATGGTGGGGTATCTACATAAAGAATGGATGAACGCATGAATGAAGGAATGAATGATGGGATGTATATATGAATGAAGAAACAAATGAATACATACAGGAGTTAATGCACAAATAAACGAATAAGTGAATGCATGAACGATGGAACGTATATATCAATGAATGAGTACAGGAAGGGATTAACAAATGAATGAAGTGATGAATGAAGGAATGAACAAACTACTTCTGAGAACCAAGTGTGTGAACCTCGGACCTCCTTCCACTGATCCCAACACGAATCCCTGTAACAGGGTTTCCCACCAGAAACCCCCGGCGCTCCATCTCCCCGCTCACCTGCCGGGGGCTCACGAGGATGCTACTGGATTTCACTCCTGTTTTCAGGGTCTGGCTGGGGTTCTCTCCCTTCACAGGTTCAGAGCCTGTGGGCCCTGTGGCCCCAGCCCCTCCTGGAGGCTGGGCAATGGCATACTCAGCATATGACTGAGGGGCCGCCTGGGCTGAGGTTGCTGTGGTGGGGTTCCGTGAAGATCTGAATAAGGGCTTGGCCTGTGGAGAGAAAGGAAGGATGCGTGTTGTGAAGGAACACTAGAACCCTCAACCTCCTCAGACTCTCATCCTTCTTCCCGATGCTTTCCAGGGCTAAGAACTCAAAACGGCAGCTGAGGTTCTGGATCAGTTGGTGCAGTACGTGCCTAAGCATGCGCAAAGCTCTGCGTGAGCCAGGCAGAGTAATGTACACATGTCATTCCAGCCCTTGGGAGGCAGAGGCAGGAGGATCAGAAGTTGAAGTCATACTCACTTACATAGTAAGTCTAAGGCCAGCCTGGGCTACCTGAGACCCTGCCTAATAGAAAAATAAAACCGAGCCGTGATGCCTAGATCTGTGCACCCCTGCCTCGGGAAGCACAGCTGTGTGAACTGCCCCACCCCCCCCACCCCCAGACCTTTGCAGAGGCTTTCCCCTCCACACTGGTCTTCCAGTGGCTCCTCAGCCTCTCCCCTCAGGCCTTTGCAGAGGCTTCCCCTCCACTCAGTGGTCCTCATGGCCCATTCCCTCACCTCTGCTCACGGCCAGATCCTTCAATTTACCAAAAGACATCAGAAATGAAGTTTTGCCAGAAATTTTTTTTTTTTTAAAATAAGGTCTCTCTGTGTAGCCCTGACTGGTTTTGTAGCCCAGGCTGGCCTTAAACTCAGAGATCTGCCTGTCTCTGCCTCCCAAGTGCTGTGATTAAACATGTGCACGGCCACACCTGGCCTGTTTTGCTTTGTTTTTGAATCAGGGTCATACACTTATGGCTCAGGCTAGCCTGGAACTTGTGCTGGTCCTCCTGTGTAGTGGGTAGCCATTCCAGCTTTGATCTGGAAGTTCCAACCCCCATTGAGACTTCGGCAACTGTCACGCCTACAAGGCGGGGCGAAAGGAGGCGCCTGGGGACCTGAGATCTGGATCGGCGGGCTCTGTCTCTGTTGCGGGACCCTGGACTGGAGAGGTGTACCAAGCAGAGCTCCAGAGAACACCGCTGGACTGCGATACACCTTCCCCAGACTCCGCGACCTACCTATCCCTTACTTTGTAAGTTACGCCATTAAATAAATCTCCTTTTATCTACGTGGAGTGGCCTTAATAATTTCACCAATATCTGGCGCCCAACGTGGGGCAAATTCCAAAGGCCTGGGTGGCTCCCACCTTCAGCCTCTTCCCCGGCTGGCGGGTACCTAAACCCGCCTGCAAAGTTCCATATAACCAGGGAACGCCTACAGGGTTCCATTCCCTAAAGAGGGAGCAGCTAGTCCGGTCTCAGCTCCCTAGCTTAGCCCCGAGACCAGCGACAGAGGCACTCCCCGGCTTCCCGAGTGCCGGCGCCAGCTTCGGCTCCCGCCATCTTGACTCCAGCGAGCTGCAGTCAGCCAAGATCACCAGCAGGCCCTGCTTTGGAGCTGTACCAACGCCATCTGCTGGCTGAAAAGTACTACTACACCCCCCAAAACCACCAAAGGTAAGCAAAGGCACCTGATAATTTTACACCTTAAAATTGACTAACAAATTTTGAGTAATTCTTGTAATATGGCTGACAACATTACCTCACAAGAATTCGAAAACCTTTTTGCTTGTATGATGAATGACATCTTACTGGAAATATATGACCTTCCTAAGGCATATCTGGCCTGTACCATTTTGGCATTCATTGTAATAATCCACACAGTGTTCAAACACTGGTTTAATAACAAGAACAAAGATGAGTCATTATTGGGACTGATACAGGCTTTAAGCGAGAGCAATGAAGGCTTACAGAAAAAGATTCTATCTCTGGAATCTGCTTTAAGGGATAGCAATGAGACCTTAGAGAGAAAGATTCTTTCTCTGGAATCTGCTGATCAGGATTTACAAAACAGGCTTGTACCAAAAATTGATCTTATTGATAATAAATGTGAATATTTAATGGACAGAACACTAACTCTCCAGACACTATATAAGGAAGAAAGATTATCATTAATTGATAAGATAAGGTCCATGGAATCATGTGTTTCTGAGGAACATAAAAACTTCTATGATTCCATGAGGAATCTGGAGTCCCTTGCCAGAGAGGAGGCTCACTCCATAGAACAGACCCTAGGTGCTCGTTTGCAGGCCTTAGAAGAAACTCTCAGTAAACATGACAAGGGACCTAATAAGCAGAAGGGCAAGACCATAGAGGTTGTAACATCTTCAAATGGCTCTCACACAATGGCTTATCCTGTTATCATCCATGAGAAGCCAGCGGATGACACACACCCCGAGCCATATAATACATATACATTACAACCAATTTCAACAAGGAACTTTAAAAATATAAAGGAAGCAGTAGTTACATATGGGATACACTCCACATACGTAAAACAGATGTTAAATTCATGGTCTACCTCACATAGAATCATCCCAGATGACTGGCATCAGTTAATTTCAGCTGTTCTAGAATATAGCCAGCAGCTACAGTGGAAAAGCTGGTTGAGAGAAGAGGCAAAAATTTTAGAACAACAAGGTAAACTCAGAGGTTTCGTGATCTCCCAAGATCAAATACTTGGTGAGGGATGTTTTGCTGACAGGAATGTACAAGCCATTTATGATGAGCATACAATATCCCTATGCCGTACAGCAGCTCTAAACGCTTGGGAAAAAATTCCAGAACCTGGAAAACCAACTGAGGTATACACAAAGATATTTCAGGGACCACACGAACCCTTCACTGATTTTTTACAAAGACTGAACACAGCTATAACAAGAGCTGTATCAGATAAAGAATTAAGAAAAGTATTAACTGAGTCCTTGGCATTCGACAATGCTAATGCAGAATGCAGAAGAATACTTACACCATTAAAGATCAGATCAGCTCCTTTGGAAGAATGGATTCAGTATACTAATGGTGTTGAGTCTCGTAACTACAGTAATGAGGCTTGGATAGGAGAGACAAATCCCAGAGGTGAAAGAAGGCCCCGTGTTACCAAATGTTTTACATGTGGTACACCAGGTCATATAAGTAAAAACTGTACGTGGGGTACTCCTAGGAGTAATATTCCTTTTAGGAATAGCCTAAACAGGAGACCCCAACCACCTCCCGGATTATGTAGAAGGTGTGGCAAAGGCCGACATTGGACCAGTGAGTGCAGATCAAAAATAGATATACGAGGTAACCCTTTACTGGCGGGAAACGCCTCAGGGGGCCTCTTGCAGGCCCCCAAATCCAATGTAGTATGAACATTCCCAGCCACTGTGGAAGAAATTCCTCTCCAAGACAACTGAATAAACCAATGCTTAATGTAAAAACCGATACTGCAATGGATGATAAAACAGCTCTGATGGATGGATCACAGTTTACGAAGAACACTATAAAACAAATATTTTGGCAGACTTCCATAAATGATCAAAGACCAAAGCTTAGAATTCGAATTAATGGCCTGGTTATGGAGGGACTGGTAGACACAGGTGCAGATGTGACTATAATTACACCAAAATCATGGCATCCAAATTGGCCTCTTCAAGAGGTAGATGTCCAACTTTTAGGGATTGGCACCCTATCTCAGATAAAACAGAGTTCGAGATGGGTTGAATGCATAGGGCCAGAAGGACAGAGAGGAAGGCTGAAGCCATATGTAGCAAATGTAGCAGTAAATCTTTGGGGCCGAGATCTGTTACAACAGTGGAATACCCAGATTAAAATTCCTACACTTTCAGAAAAAGAATACAGACAAATGCATGTTTCTAGGAATAATATCATCACATGCTATAAAAATCAGGCACCAACCATTCAGGCTGTTCACAAACAGAGCACAACTGCTATTGAACCCTCAGAAGTACCAACTGCCTTACCTTTAAAATGGCTAACTAATAAACCTGTCTGGGTTGGACAATGGCCTTTGACAAAAGACAAGCTACAAGCTTTAGAACAGCTGGTTCAAGAGCAGTTAAATGCTCAACACATTGAAGAATCTACCAGCCCTTGGAATTCTCCTGTATTTGTTATTAAAAAAAAGTCTGGTAATTGGAGAATGCTGACAGATCTGAGAGCTATTAATAAAGTAATTCAGCCAATGGGCTCCCTACAGACTGGGATGCCCTTGCCCTCTCTGCTACCTAAAGAATGGCCTATAATAGTTATTGACTTAAAAGACTGTTTCTTTACCATACCCTTACAAGAAAATGATAGAGAAAAATTTGCCTTCACAGTACCTAATTATAACAATTCTCAGCCAGTCAAGAGATATCAATGGAAGGTCCTCCCACAGGGAATGTTAAACAGCCCTACCTTGTGCCAATACTTTGTGCAGAAACCATTGGAGATAATTCGTGTAAAGTTTCCACAATCCATAATTTATCACTATATGGATGATATCCTATTAGCTGATCCAAAATTAGATACATTAGAAAGCATGTTTGAAGAAGTAAAAAAAGTTTTGCCTCGCTGGGGACTGCAAATTGCTCCTGAAAAAATACAAAGAGGAGATTCTATTAACTACTTAGGATATAAGATAGAGCTACAAAAAATTAGACCCCAAAAGGTACAGCTAAGGAGAGATCGGTTGAAGACTCTTAATGATTTTCAAAAGTTATTAGGAAGCATTTCCAACTTACTGGGTATCATGGGAATACCCAAAGATGGACTACAAAATTTGGCTAATACCCTAGAAGGGGACAAAGAATTAAATAGTCCAAGAGAATTATCAACTGAAGCTGAGAAGGAATTGGCTCTAGTAGAAAAGACAATTCGAGAAGCACATGTGGATCGTGTGAATCCAGAACTTAAATGCATTCTTGTCATATTCCCCTCCAGACATTCCCCAACAGGTATTTTGATGCAGAGGGAAGATATTATATTGGAATGGATATTCCTACCACGTAAACCAAATAAGAAATTAAAGACATATAGAAAAGATCTCTGAATTGATTCAAAAAGGTAAACTAAGACTTCGCCAGTTGACAGGAATGGACCCAGCAGAAATTGTAGTACCTTTAACTAATGAAGAAATTTCATCACTATGGAAAGATAATGAATACTGGCAGAGAGCCT